GCGAGACTTTGCCGGAGTTTATCGAGACCAAGGGGGTGCCAGCTGCATATTGGAAGTTAGAAGTTCTTAGTAGATTCCTGGATGTGTTGACGATTGCCGGTCATATTGCACCGGTAGCCGGTAGCCAAGGTTGTCCTTTATTCGCCCCGGAGGGAGGTTGAAGAGCAGGCCCATTGCTTGTGAGAGTGTCGGCCAATGGACACTGGGAGCACCGGCACAGGCTCTGGAGCAATTGATCAGCTTGGCTGCAACTCGTCCCGGAAACAGTTGGCTGATACCCTTGCAGTGCAGTGATGTTGTGGTGCCATGCGACACGCTTGCTTGAGCACCGTCTTGTAGGAGTCACCTCTTCCAGTGGGACATGTGGCCGCGATGCCAGATGTTCACCTGGGAAAAGGCCGGGCTCTGACGTGCGATCTGTCATGCTGTCAAGCATGCTCTACAGCCGAGGTGTGGCAATTGGTGCAGTCTTCGCTTCAGAGAAATATGTCTGTCCTAACGCGGTCGGTGTCGATATTGGCTGTGGAATGTGTGCTGTTCCGGTCGACGGCCTGTACAAGCAGGATTTGTCCGAAGAGAAGCTTCGCAAACTGCAATCCTTGATCAAAGAGCGCATCCCAACATCCTTCGATTCGCACCCTGTGCAGCTTTCCTGGGCCAAAGGAACCTTGAAGGACATCAGTCGTACCTTTGAGGCAATCATGCTTACATAACTACAGATGAAGGCGAGTGACCAGTGACTAGTGATTGTGCAATGCGAATTTGCGCATCAATCGTAAGTGCTCCCAACAGGCGAGCACCACCCGACCGACTATCTCGCTGAGCGCATCGATAAAGAAGACAGGATTGCCAAGCAGCTGGGAACGTTGGGCGGCGGCAATCACTTCTTGGAGGTCGTGTACGCTGAGGGCGACGAGCAGGCTGGTCAGCCCGACACTTCAAAGTCACAAATGCCATGGGCAGCTCTGGTGTTTGGCTTGGGTGTTGATGGTGGATGTTCGAACCGAGTAAACATCACGGAAACAGGGGCAAATCAGCAAGGAGACCGGCTGTCAAATGAAACTGGAGCAAAGGGATCAAGCCTGGACCAAAAACCAGAACCGCTAAACAGCTGTAACAGAAACCAGGGAGAAAGCTGCAACAGCTTTCACTGCATGTGTGCAGTCGCACCCCTGAGCCTCCGCAAACCCCATTCTCCCTCACATGCTCGTGCTGAGAGGGTAATCCTGCCAAAACCTAAACTCCTGACTTCGTCGATGGGCTTGAAGCCACGAAGTTCCTGTTCGTCGTTCCTGCCTGAGGCGTTTGGATTCAAGGCTTGGGGTTTCGGGGAGAAGGCTTTCTGGGTTTGGGGTTCAATTCAAGGTCCATATGTGACATCGGTTGGTCTTAGCTTGTTTTGGTTTCAGTTCGAGGTCTTGTCCGCATATTTGTTTTTGTTTGTCCTTCATAGTGCTAGTTTCTGCTGTGAGGTTTCTTGAATTTCTTGGTTGCAATCACAGCTTCTGCTGCTGGCTTCTTTTACTACCTCCCTTGGTTTTCATTACCGCCCTGTCCTCACTCAGTTTGAACCTACGATGGACCCCTGCATCCACTGCTCGAGGGACTTGGACTGTCTCGTACTTATATGGGCAGTGGCTTTGTCGAAACGACTCTTGCAAGTTTGGACGGTTTGTCGCAGGTGTGGTGTATGCTCCACAGTGGAAGCCGAAATGTTGGCAACACAACCGCTTCTTTCTACGACTCGATAGCAGGCGACAGGCCTGGCAGTGGCCAAAACTGGCCTCGTGCTGTGAGAGTGCCGCAGCTGTGTTTTGTCTGGTTTGACCCTGAGGGGACGCTGTCTTAGAGGTCAGCATGGTTCGTTGAACTACCTGGAGATCGACAGTCCCGACGGACAAGACTATCTCAAAGACATGCAATGGTGTTGCGTGGTCACACAATTTGTCGGGGATAGCATTTCTTTGTGTCTCGTAAACGCAGTGTTCAACAGTGCAAACATCTGAGGGCCAGGCTGCTGTAGCGTTCAAGAGACCTTTGTTGCGGGTTTCTCCAAGGTCAGTCATACGCCAAAGAGAACCGGAGTAGCATGATGAATCTGATGGTTTCATCGGTGGAGGAGGTTACTGGAAAACGAGCGGACATGTCAAGGGCTGTCAATGCCCACCACAACTTCTGTCAGTGGTCTCCTCAGTGCTGTCTCTGTGGGTGGGCACATAGGAAGAATGGTTTACGAGTGACATCTATGAACATCGACAGCGGATGCTTCACATTCTGTCAAATTCAAGGTGCGAGAAATGCCGCTTCTTTGACCACAGAACTGGCGCCGTCAAGGACATGTGGATGCGGAGGGCTGTTCTTGCGCGCAATTGCTCCATCACGGGTGCAACCCAGGAGAAGAACCTTTGGGTCACGCGAAAAGGTGCCACCAGTGCTCGTGAGGGCCAGTATGGTATCATTCCAGGCAGCATGGGCGCTGCAGCCTCGGACGAGTGGCTTCAAGCGGCTCACGCCAGCTGCAGTTCCTTTGAACAACGAGGTAGGGAGCTACATTGTCAAGGGTCGTGGAGCCAGAGGCTGCCTCGGTTCATGCAGATCCATGCTGCCGGGTGATGTGGTGCCATGCCAGTTGGGCTGCCTGGAGGCTCTTGGCAGAGCTGCTCTCATGGCGCTGGCAGGCCAAGCGTCCGCAGTCTAGGGGTGGCAGGGAGGTCGCATTTCGGCATGCCGTGGGCCGAGGACCATGTCTAGGACACGGGCGAAGAAGGAGATCCCACAGGACAGCCCGGAGCTTCCGGCATATTGAAACCCGAGAGCAAACCCGAGCCGTGCAGAGGAAGCCTTTGAGGCCTCGATGAAAGGCATCATTTGCGATACCAATCCGGCTGTGAGAGACGAGGCTCCACAGGCCTACAAAGACTTGGGCCAGGTGGGGACGGGGACCACTCCCAAAAGCCCCTCTCTCTCGACAAACCTCTCGTTTTGGCAGGTTCTAAAGAACCAAGCCGATCTGGTGGAGGCCTGGTTACACTCTTTTGGCCACCTCTCGTCCCTGCCAGCCCGTTAGGTGGAGCATCGGCTGCTTCCGCTGGTCAATGTCAAGGGATTCGAGGAGAAGGGCCTCTTGCCTGATCTTCCTTGAGGGCAGGATCAGACTGCCTGCGAAAAGGATGCACGGCATTGTAAAGGTAATTAGCATGCGCGGAGATAGGCAGTACGAAGAAAGAGTGTCTCGCAGACTTTGAGTTGGCGTATCTTGCTGGCCCACGAGGCAGCTTCTCCACCGGTGGCCGCAAACGAGGTAAGAGAAAGCAGCGCAAAACCTCACGGCGCACGTGAGCCATGCAGCAGTGTTCTCCTGTTGGGAATCGCACCATCGTGGAGCAGAGCCACAGGAAGCGATTTGAGGTAGGTCCGAGTGTTGCTACTCACCGTGCAATGGCAGTTCTGCAAGCGACATTATGCATGCAATCGGGCTCGCCAACAACCAGTGAGATGCAAGGCTTGGAGATGCAGCTTATTTCCACCATTGGCCAAAGGTAAGCCAATGTGCCCCCAGTCTACAGTACGGCTTGCACAAGAACAAGCCATGCACGTCAAACAAGTGGATGCGACTGAGCTTGAAAAAGCCTTCCTCGTTCTTGTAAGATGACTTTTTGCCATCTCGTCTCGGAGATCGCTTATGCTAGGCGGGTCACCGTCCGAGCGGTTACAAACTGCTTCGACATTCTCGCAATCCGAGCAGGGCCCATCCATGATCGGATTCGAATCTAGCCAGATCTGCTGCGCTTTTCGGGATCTGACACCTGTCCGGGACATGTGAAGGGATTTGTCATGCCACTCGCGACATTACTCAGGTAGCCGCGATGCAGACCAGGGCAGATCTACTGAACTGGTGGACCGATCCTGCCTGTACTGCACACGTTAGGCCGTCGTCAGCAATCTCTTGGGCCGTAGGAAACTGTTCTGAGCATCGCCGACTTCAAGCTCAAGGAGGGGGGCTCCATGGTAGCAAAGCACTTCGAAGGGGCCAGGCACCTGGCGACTGCAACAAAGCTGCTCCTGCCGCTGCTGGTCCCGAGAGATGTTATGTAAGGCCTCCACGATGGAGCTGAGACAAAGGATGAGAGCTCGTTTCGAGAAGTGTGCCTCGGCTTGGAAGCAAACACAGTCCGCCCGCTGCAGCGTGCTATTCACGGTCGTGGTTGTCAGATGAGCTGCATGATTTGATGTGACTCGCACGCCTGCACTGAAAGTTGCAGCTCTCTTGGAGGTCGAATCATCAAGACACGGGTGTCGCGAACCCAATCGTGCGAGCTTTGCCGGCTCGCTTGAGAAATCAAAGGCCTGCTGCTGCCCTGGTCCTGCAGCCTTTTTGCCCTGCGGCAGGCTGTACCTGTGTTGCATCGGTAAGAAGCCGATCAACATGGAGGCCCGGCATTTGCTTTGAAGGCTAGGGCCTCTGGGGTCGCCACCCTGACCTTGGGCCAGGCTCCGTCCTCCTGGCATATGCCACCCCGCAGAAGGCATTTGCTTCATCATTTGCCGGTCCATATAGCGAATCGAAACATGGTGCTGGAGCCCCTGTGCCAGGACTGTCAGGAATCCCGCGCCTCGGTCATTCAATGGCTGGTAGATGGCTCGATGCGGGAAAAGTCTAGAGTCTAAAGTTGCAGGGTGCGACACAGAATGTCACACACAGCACTGGGCCAAGAACCTGCAGATACATGTGTGGTTCCCATGGCTCGAAATCCAACGGAAAAGTTTGATGTGTCATGGTTCGGTCGTGTTGGTGTCCTCGATGCACTCTTGCTAACCTGTGTTGGCACTTGTTTAACCGAACTTTGAGCAGAAACGGAGCAGATGACGCTACATTTCAGCGGAGTCTAGTTTCTCTTTGCAGAACAGAGCCCGTGCACATGGATTCTGGGAATGCCATGGTTTCGGGGTGATCTCCTGTGGAGACGCTGCCTGATCAACAGCCGGAGATCTTCCACACTATGCAGCTCTTTCAGCAGCTGGGGGAGGCCAGCTGCGAGCACGCTTCTGGTGTTGTCGGATCACCTCACCCTCAATTTTTAAATGTGCCAATAGTCTGTGAGATCAGCGGCGCCGTCGTACATGCCGGAGACACTTTGCCACACGAAATAAGATGCATGAACACCTTGTTTCTGAATGGCTGGATCTAGCCGCTCCGTTCCTGACAAGCTTGGCACGCCCAAGAGAAGACGGCTGTGCACCAAGGCCAAGGGGCTTAGGCTTAGGCTGAGCTTTTTCCGGTGTCAGGCCCTCGAGCGACTCTCGAGTGGCCACTGTGCGTGGAACGATCTCACCAAGGCCGAGCTGAGGACAGGCCATGGGTAAGACTGGTGAAAGCCTTGCAAGCATATGCGCGTTTGGCTTCTAAGCAACATGCCCTGTCGCATTCGGCAGGAATCTTGCAGAGTTCAATGAAGAGCCGAAGTCTGCCATCGAGGGCCTCGAAGGCTTAGCCCTCGAGTACACATGGCAGGAACTGCACCAGGCCCGAGGATGCAGCGCGAGCGCGAGCAAAATACACTTCGTGAGCTCAGAGAGCGGAGGCGACTGACGGCTTTTCAACAGCTCGCCAGTTGGGTTCAGGTGCCAGTGGTGCGCCCTTGTGGTGGGAAAGTCATCGGTCCTAAAAGGTGTCGGGCGTTTGCATCAGGTACAGTCTACCATGCCACGCTGTGCGAGGGCACAGAAGCGGCTGTGAAGGTTGGAAGTAAACTACATGAGCTTCTTGTTGAGTTGAGAATTTGCATGCGTTGTCGCTTCCAGCAATTCTGGGTGTCGGCGATGTCGCAGGTGCTGGATGCACCATTGCGGGGAGGGTTTGAAGACGAAGTTCGTCTCCTGTCCAGATGCAGGCATCCAAATGCCGCAGCCTAAGCGCATGCCAGCTACACATGCACTTCACTCAACGGACCAGACACTCTGGCCTCTCTGAGAGGTAGTGATGCTCCTGGGATTTGCTGAAGAAAGTCTTTGCAGCGTTTTTCGACATCGTCGCTGTGCTTTGGTCTATGAGCTTCTGCATGGCGGTGACCTTTATCGAAGGCGGGGAAAGGAATGCTAAACAACTCCTCTACGTCTCCTCATCGGGGCAAGCTCCGAAGATGCTGGGATTTGACGCCGCTGGGACATGGTACCGGTAGTAGGTCTGTCAAGTATGTGGGTTGGCATGAGCGAGGTACGATAGCTTCCGACACCGTGTGTCCTGCAGGCTGCAGGCATCCAGAGCTTACTTATGGCATGAACGACTGCGGACTGCCACAGAAGCCTCTCCCTTAGCCCACAAGGTCTCGGCAGTTTGCCTGGTTCTCTGTGCAAGGTTTGCCGGGGCTTGGCCCATCTGCACAAGCACCGGCCCAAAATCTTCCACCGTGCGCCCGCGATTGTCCAGCATCTGCATGTCCACTCCTGGTAGTGGCATCCTTTGAGATGCACAGTTTGTATTGTCATTCACAGCAGGTGACATCAAGAGCCAAAACATCCTCTTCAGCAGTGATGGGACGGCAAAGATAGCGGACTTCGGCAGCTTGACATAAACAGCCCAACAAAATTGAGCAACAAGCCAACACAGTGTTAGCGGAGTTGACTCCAGGATTGGCATGTATGGCCGCCGACAACGATGTTCACGAGATGGCGACATCGTTCCTGACTTGGAGGGTTGTTTTCATGTCGAACCTGCGACGAGCGCCCAATGTCTTTCACGTTTTAGTCGGTTTTCTGCGGGCTTAATTTCAGGTCAGCAAGTGTCAATGCCTTGTTTCGTGTGACGGATGACACGTTGAACTGCGACTGTCGCAATCCGGGCTTCGGCTGTTCAGGATTTCACATCGCAGTGTGCTGAAGCCACTCATGATACTTCATGGTGGTTTTTCCGAAAATGTCCGAGGCAAGTTGCTGGCACGGTGGGTTATTCTGACCCGCTGTACACCAGGCACGACGGCAACCCAGATTGCAGGGGCTTTGATTGTGCTTGGGCAGCAGGACGGGCGTGATGTCAGAGTCTAGCGAGTGCTACTCCTTTGGGCAGGCACGGTTGCGGCTTTTGCGTTGCTTGTGCTTTGCTTCGAGCGGATCTTGTCTTCGCATTCGTCGGTTCCTGCGTGTCGCTTCTGTTTGCAGGGCCCCGGGCACTTTTTGCTATGCATCCACCCTAGCGAAAGCCTACTCTCGATATTGGACATTCTGGCAGATCCGTCGATTCCCGGGAATACAAGACAGCATCTGGTTGCGCCCCTGCTGTAGTCTTTTTTGGCGGGCCACTGCGGATTGCAGTAACTTTTCGTGCAACATTCCTACGCGAGTCAGGGGAGAAGCATGCCATGCACAGATTTAGCACGAAAACCTGCTGTTGGTGCCATTGTCGCACAATGGTCCTCATGGGAAGCTACAGCACTGGGAGTTTCACTCGCCACCGGCTTGAGATCAAGCGCGAGGAACCACGAGAGAGAGAGAGAGAGAGAGAGAGACTGGCGCGCGGGCAGAGGGGGAAACCTCTCTGCCCATAGCCCTGCCGAAAGAAAGAGGGAGAGAGCGCGAGAGCACAAATCGTGCTTGGACGTGCTGCGGGGAACACAAACAAACAGATGCATGGGGATTTTTCCTGAGCTGGGAGCAGCGACGGCTGCCATAGGGATACGGGGGGGTCAGGCCTGGAGGTTCCTGGTGTTCGGGGTGAGGCTTTCAGCTGCGGTAGAGCCGCGTTCATGAACACCCAGATGCCACCCACTCGTGGACACAATGGAAGGGCGGGCCCAAGGACTGAAGGTCGCTGGACGACCCCGACTCCCGGCGAAGGAAACAAACATCTCTTGGGTGGGTGTGTGTGTGTGTGTCTGTGTGTGTGAAAGTTGCGAGATGGATAATTAGTATTTCGCTGGGCCTCCAGTTGTTCAGCCTGCAACGGGAGTGTTCGCCTTGCAATATACAGCAGGGGCGTGCAGCACCTTTGGCATACTGCACGGTGGGAGGGGATCAAGGATGCATGATCCTGTACCTGCAACGAAGTTTGTGACATCCTACTCCTACAAGCTGTATATGGCGCCATCATCAAGGTAACCCAGCTTACTGAAGACCCCCTTCAAGCTTTTTCTTCTTAAAATCTCAGCTGATCACTCGTGAGAACTATCCACTAGGGTTTGCCTGGAGTTCGAGCGTGTGTGTGTGTGTGTGCGTTCAGTGTGTAGGGTCGGGGATCACAGCTCAGAAGGTTAAAGCAGACCTTGCCAGTAGTTCCGAATGCATGGGGGCCGTGACTCAATGTCAATTAATGGTCGGACTTCAAGCAATACATAGTCGGAGAAGAGCCAGGTTGGGATACCCGACACCCCTGAAACCAATACGTTGTCCGACACTCGCTGCTCCGCCCAGCCTGGTCGAGACGAGGGAAAAAGTGCAGGTCAGAAGCGAGAACGGTGCACCCTTGTCGAAAACAGGCAAACATCGTGTGGGATTCTCGATAAGCTGGGAAATCCAACCGCGGCCGAAGGTTCTCATTGAAATCCTGGTTGGCCGCCCACCTGCCGTTTTGGCACAAGACGGTCACAGCTGTGCTTGTTCCCCAGTTTAGAACCGAGCAGAGTCCAGTGCAGTTCTGCTGGTTGCTTAGGTTTTTCTGAGTGATGAGCTGCGGCCTAGGGAGGACCCATCTGCACCGTCCTGCAAATGGATCCGAGAAGGGAGCTCCGGATGTCGTAGGACCGTGCCAAAAGCCGTGTACTAAGTCGTCTCGACAAGCGTCGGCGGCTTGGGCGCTTGGCTCCACTGAGTGCATGCAAACTGCTACTCTATTGAGGTGCGCAATGGCCTCTCTGCACGGCGGCCGGCCTCTCTACGCTGGCTCTGTTCACTGCTCGGATCTTTTGCTGCAACATCTTGGTCGCTTTAGTTCTGAGTCACCGAGGCTTTGCATTCATGAGGATGCTGACCGCCGCCCAACATTCCTCGAGGCACGAACTTTCGATTGAGGCAGTCCGTGGATCCGGCTGGTTTCAGTCCCTCCCTGTCAAGCCTGGCAGGCCACAGATATGCTCAGAGACCTTACGGCTGCTGCATTTGTGCAAGAAGCAGATCAGGAGAGTTGCAACTCATGCGGGCGTGGCAGTGGACATTCTGTTTCTGCAGGACAGCGTTGGTCGAGATCCGACCGAGCAGCCAGAAACATGTCATCATACTGTCCCGTTGGTTAGAGCTCATGGCATCCTCGAGCCGGGCAGGGAGGATTCAACGGCAGGTTGCCAGGGTTCACCGGAAAATGCTTTGAGGCAGCCCGAGCTTCCCCAGCTCGAGTCTGCAGAGGTCTTGGGCCATTTCCTCCAGCATGCCCAGCATGCCCGGCAACTCACGGGCCAACCCCGCCAGGCACAGATCCTGTCCCCGTCTCCCAACTTTGCACATGCAAAGGCTAGCTTGCACCAGGCGCAGTTGCAAGTCCAGCACAGACAATCCCCTGTGCCGGTGCAGCACCAGCAGACGCAAGCTTTGTCACCAGGTGCCGTGATGCAACTGTCTCCGACTGCTATGCAGGTCTGGCAGCCCCACTCCCCAGGTCATGGACCAAACGCACCCTCTCCCCCCCCTCCTCTTCAGCTGCTGCAGGTAGCGGCCTGCCCTCGCCCCATCAATCGGCCCTGCGGGCCCATAGGCCCCATGTCCCCTCGAGATCTGCGGACGTCGCATGCAAAGTCCATGCACGACATCCAGGCGTGCGCCCTGCCGCCGGCTGCCTCTATGCACCTAACTGACCGCCTGTCGAGGCGGAATCCAACAGAATCAACATCTGTCTTCGAGCCAGCTCTCTCGCCTTGACCTGAGCATGTTCCAACCGGGCACGACAGATGTCCGATCAGCGGCTCTCTGCAGAGGCGGCTCCTGCTCTGGTCGGAGATCGACAGCCTCCAGGTTCTTGTCGCATTTCTGGAGGGTTGTTTTTGAGTTTGATACGGATGATTATGTCTGCCGCAGTTTTCGCTGCCTGAGTTGGTGACACTGCCGTCCTGCAGGTGCTGAAGAAGCTTCTGAACTGCGGAGCGAATCTGTCTGACAGCCAATTTGTCAGCTGAAAGCGTACGGCTTGTAAACGAATTACCATAGGTTCGGAGCAGTCTAGCAAGCAGTCGCAGACTAACATGGGCCGTAACCGCCGTGGACAAAAACTGCAACTCCGTCGTGCTGCAGTGGCAACTCCAAGCAATATTGGGGCACAGTTTGTTTGACTTAGTCTTATCCCAGCGCCGTGCTAAATCTCGGTAGTGCAAGCCAGACGCTCAGCGACCTCTGCTCAGAAAAGCTGTATAGCTGCACGCGTGCGACCACGCTTCAGTGTTCATGGCATTATGGCCACAGCAAAGGATCCTGGCATGGCCGCAGCCAGAGATTTGTTTTCTTGCAGCCAGCCACCGGAGCAGCAAGAGAGGTGGCAGTGGCGGCAGCCGACCCAGGGTGCTACTGGTAGCGCCAACTCTGAGCCATCCTGCAGTCATCACAGCAAATATCAAGCAAGACGACTCGACCGCACATGGCTCGGCCGCATGCCGCCGCGAAACGCAAAGCGGGCTGAAGCTTGCTGGCATTGCGTTTTGTCACCAGTGCTTAAGTATGCTTAAATCAGCTATGGCCAAGGCACTATACTACAGCAGACTTAAGTGCTTTTGCACATGGGGCGCTTCGATGCTGTTTCCGGTTGTAAGTTGGTGAAGTTATATGAAAATGAAATCTGGAAGGCAACGAGGAAGTAAGAATACCGTCCCTCATTGCTCGTGTTGAGGCACCGGCTGGGGCTGGCGATGCCGGGCAGAGCATCGGCCTCCGCACTTCGCAGAGTGGGGGCAATCTGATATCGAGCGAGTTGCCCACGGGTCGGCAGCTTTCGTGGCGCTGCAGGTTCTACAAAGAAAAGGCGTCGCGCCTGTCGTGTGGGGAGGAAGGGCAAGAGCACTCACAGTCTCCTTACAGAGTCAGGCCAGATGCTAAAGAGAGCACGGCGGCTCGCACCAGAGATGCGAGTGCTTTGAAGGTTGCCTGCAGCAACTATGCGCAGAATGCGGCAAATCGCACTGAGGCCAGCGACGTGCACAAATCGGGCGAAGCGGCAAATGCTGCTGACGCGCAACCAGAAGGACGGCGATGTATGTCTGCACACTGTTTCTCCACGCGAGGCTCCCGAGTGCTCCCGACGTTGCCAGGGCCGGCAGAGGCAGAGCTGCCCAGAAAGCAGAGCTCCAGGAACTCGGCCAACCGGCGGACTCGATGGGCCCCCGAGGCGCGCGTCTCTGATGGCACGGGGCGATGTGTGTAAGGGAGACCTGTCAGTTTCAACGGCGAAGGTTTAGAAAAGTGTTCGCAATATATCCAATATACCGCAATACCTTGCCTCCACTCCAATGAGAAGGATTCACTTCGGGATGCCGTCATTGGCTACATTGGTGACGATGAAGAAGATCCCCCGCAGGCAAGACTCGAAGTTGCAAGCTGGACAGAAGTGCTTGCACAGCTGCATCCACGCAGCAATCATCCAGAACCTTATTGCGTGAAGCAGCTTCAGGCTGGACAGGCAGTGCCGCGTCAGAGCCGGGACGTTCAGCAGCTGATTAGCGATGGCGTAGATGTTCCCATCGCCAAGGACCACATCTGATTGTGGGGCCCAATTGTAGGTTGTACAAAGCATATTCTCCAGCTTGCGCGATGGACCTGCAACACTCCAGCACTCCTTCGTGTCGTGCAATGAAGGACCAGCGTTCCAAGTATGTTTGGGTTGCTTTGGCCAGAGGGCGAGAGGCTGGCAGCAAAGGCTGGGCATTTGGACTCGAGGTCATTCGCCCTTGCCCAAAACTGTGAGTCAGCACGGTGCCTTGCGCTGATGTAAAGGTGACCCGATGAAGGAGGCCGAGCCGGCTCAAAGGACGAAGAAGTACACCTGGAAACCTGGCTTCAGTTTCTTTTACTCTTTCATGCTAGTGTTGCTCCACTGCCTCGCAAGGAATGCTGAAGAAATAGTGCCGGTGGACACGAAACTAGCTAGAGACATCGACCTCCGGTGTGATCTCTGCGGGTTGGACTGCACAGAGGCGCGACGGGCACCGTCCAGTCGATGCGGCACGCATAGATAGCTGCCCGAAAGCTGTACCGTGGGCTTCTAGCCTGAACTTCGAATAAGAGCTGAACGGTATGCTTCGTTCCGTGTTCGGCGTTACTGATGCCGTTCATGCGATGTCTGAGAGTAATTGCCAGTGCCCATTCAGGATCGTAGGAGCCGAGCATTGAGGTCTGAGCGTCTTTCGACTGGGGATAGCTTTCACTTCTCGCTGTTTTTCTCAAAGCCAGGCTAGAGAGAGTAGTCGGGGGGGCATTGCGGATTCGGGAAATGTTTGAGAAGAGTTTCAGATCAGGAGTCGAGGTGACGGTCGTGCCAGCGAGATTTGTCATGAGGGCAATCTGCGAGGTACTCTATGAATTCCGCTGCTACCCGCGCATGCGTGCCAAAGAGCCTCGCCCGGCTGGGGGCAGGCGGCTTCATCCCTTTGTCAGTTGGCGGCTCAGTCTTTCATGGTCTTCATGCTTATGACGTCCCGGCCCTGTTAACACTATCAACACAGGAAATGATGAATTCTAGGACTGTTTTGAGATCGCAGATGGCATCCTGGTACTCAGGAGGCAAGCAGGCGCACGATGAGAAAACAAGCAAATACTAGTGGGATTTAGACCCGTGTTCACATTTTATCGTTTTTTGTTAAAGTTGGGTTCGGCGTCCGATGTCTCTCCACGTCCAGTCGTCCAGTACGTCCAGTAGAAGTGAAATCCAGAAATTTGCAAAACACCGATGCAGGTTTTAGGGTTTCTGGATGTTCCTGGGTTAGGGATTCAGGGTTGTGAAATTCCCCTGTCTTGGGAACCTTGGTTGATGAAGCCGCGTTGACCTTCACAGTCTAGGAACCTTAATTTGCAATGCCTTGTATAGGACCACTAGTGCACTTTCACGTAAAGCGTCCATGCCAAATGTGCTTACCGAAGACGTCTTGGGCTTAGAAGCAAAGTTGAACTACAGGTACATTGGGAAGAGGAGAGTAGGGGGACCTAGGCAAAGTTGGTTAATCTACACGAATAAGTTCATCTGCGGCCCGTCCCTTTGCTCCTTATGCCAACACAAACAGGCAAAATCAGTACAATAATGAGAAACGCAGTCAACCGCCATTTTTAAAGCGCCTCACGTGCCCACGGTCTCACTATCGTGCCAAGAGAGGCAGCAGACTAGGCAATCCTTTTTTTTTGCGAGTTGTCCGAAGTTATTTGTTCGGCAATATTCTCAGAGAGTTATTGAGTATATATATATATTTATATGCTACCCCCCTCTAAGACCCCACGTTCAGCACAAACACAGCATCATACATGGCAGCGATTGCAAATGCATAACCTTGAAACTCAATATTTTTTCTTCGCCACACGAGATACCTGATCGTGTTTTCCTCTTAGACGATTGTATATGCTGCCTTTTCGAGGCCCTAATCAAGTTCGAAGTTGAACATGTCTTCAGCTGTCAGAGGAGCCTCATCATTATTCCTTACTGAGCTCGAATGACTCCGAACGGAGGATGAGACTGTAGGCTCATAGCAATAGAGAAAATAAGAGCAGACAGTTCTAAATCCCCTCCCCATATTCGGCGTGATCTTGAAGAACATGTCACGAACTCGCTAAACAATGGATCCTCAACTGAATCGCTGCATAGCACAGCACACTAGTTCGGATTTGGCTTGATAACATAAACTAATATTCCATCAGGGAAGAACAAGAAAGTATGATAAACTGAGTAGTGCATCCATCTGGAAGTGTGCCAATGCGGCGAGGCCATTCGGTGGGCGCCGCTGGCACAGGGGGCCCAACAGGATCGATTGCGTACTCCAAGATCAGGGCAGCACTCTCCGCTGGAACTCTGCCGACAAAGGAAGCCGACATGTTGCACGCGGTGGCCGGGATGGCTAGTTTAACTAGTTGATCCAGTATACTGCGGAAGAAGCAGTGTGTTGGAACATACTTTTTTCCCTTTGCTGATTTCGTGCACGCGACTCTCGAAGTAATCCTAAAATAGGACATGCATGGGTCTGCGGGTGAGCGAAGCTGGCAAGGCTATCATGAGCATACCCGGTTCGCGGTTGTCGCTCTTTTTGATACACAGCCGCATGAATCGAACTGTTGTGTGCTTACGACAATGGCAATTATCAGTCCTGCAGTGCATAAACAA